ATTGTAACCTACTTTGAAGCACACTAACTGAAAATTAAAGCTATATCATCTGCTCCCACGTTAGCGCAAGCTTAGGTTTTTTTAAAATTTTTCAGTGCCCCCCCCCCTTCCTGTTCTTCCCTGGCCTTCCATCTGTACATTACTCTTACTATATTCCTTTAACCATTTCATTTGAGAATTTTAGCACACTAAAGACTAAAGCTCAGCCACTACGGGCTGCTGCACGTACTCCTACGTTTTAATTGAAGTTAGGGCAGACCAACACTGGAGCGTTAATTTAAGCACTTTTACTTTCCTGGAAGGCGAGCCCACAAGCTTCTGACCAAACAAACTGCTTGTTCTTTAAGGTGGGCCTATGCAGAGGGGCCATTATTGTGGAAATATGAGGGACAACCCTGCTAACGTTACAATTCGGACCCGACCCACCCGAGCAGCGGGTTGGGTGGATCGGGTAAAGGGTCTACCTAGCAGCGAGTCCGGGGTCAACGGAATAACCCGCCCGTTTGAGAACACTGGCTAGGGCAGCGGGAAGGGACACCTCAGCGCAGCACTGGAAGAAGCGACTATGCGAGGGACCACGGCACTGCAAAAGCAAGTATGTGAATGAATGTCACACACTTGCAAGTGTTTGGATATCCATTCCTACACTTAAGCACGTGTATCATACGGTTTGTGTGTTGGAAAGTTGAAATTCTATCATTGAATAAACGGAGCGGGGCGGTGGGAATAGTGATGGCGCATTAACTTCTCCGGTTTGTCAAAAACCACAACATTTTCTGTGAACATTAGCACCGACTCATTACATCCAACCGAAATTCGAGGTCGAATCGAGAAGCGCGAACTCTCGTAAAACAGTCTTATATGGACCAACGGGGGGTAATGTAGACCTCCTTTGTGACGGTTCTGGATGATTGTCAATGCGCTTTGTTGACGACTTCGACAAACTAGAGTATTTTAGCTATGATTCGGCTCCTACCTAGGACAGTGCGCTTCAAACCGCACGGTGAGAGGGTGGTCATTACCCTCCGGTGTTCCAAATTGGACTGTTTAGGTTATCTCACAACCTAATAATTATATTTTAGCCCGAAGTAGATGTGTATCTTTCAAACGAAATTCTTGTTGAAAAAAATCAGTGGGAAAGTAGGAAACGTATATGGCGCTCTATTAAGGAAATATTTTCAAACGCTTCACAAAGATCGATTTTTTAAATTTGGGTAAGCTCAAAGCATGATTCTGATGGCAAAGTATCGAAAGTGGCAAATAAAGGATGAAAGACCAGAAAACAACATCGCGTTATTTGCAGGGATTAATATTACTTCCGTTCAAAGTAGCTGGCCTCAAATGCATGGCGAATTAGGGGTCGAATTAAAGTAATTTCTCCGTGGATTCAAAAAATTTCTTTTTTCATCCCCGAATAAGGATGTGGCTTCCGAAATGCAAAACCTTTTAACAAAGAAAGCATTTTCCGGGTACAGTGCCTTCACATTGTACTTGTAATGAGTGCTTGTAATGTGCTACTTACTTTTTCTTAAGTAAAGCACGACATAGCGCGACGCTTTTAAGCCTTTGGAATGATGTCAACTTCATCATACATGCACTCTGGTACTATATCTGATTCAGGACGTCCATACATTTCAAGTGATCGGTACCGGCCGTACGGTAGCACAGGAAATCCTAACATCGTTTGGTCTATCTTCATGCCGTCTAAGAAAAAATGACCCTGGTAAAAGAGCGTGCAAGAATGAATTGATATAAAATATACTGATGCACTGATAAACCAACTGTTCAACTGCTCAACACTTGTAAGTGTGCAACTGCAAGCTGGATACTATCAAGTGTGCAACTGCAAGCTGAATACTAGCAAGTGTGCAACTGCAAGTTGAATACTCTCAAGTGTTCAACTCTGTAGGTGTGCACTTCAAGTTTGCAATTCCTCAGTAGAACAATGCCTTAGACTGAACGCTCACTGCAAACCTTCAGAGTTGAAGAAATGAATTAACACCAACACGTTGGGGAAAAAAATCTTGTATTGACGGGTCGTTTCAGACCCCCAAAACTGCTAAAATCACCTGTCCCTAGCACAATTTTCCAACACAAACCTGACGTTTAGTGCATTTGCCGTCTTGAAAGGAGCCTCCGCTGGAAAGGAAGTAAGACGGCTGACTTTCATGCTCGAAAGTACAGGCTCCTGTTTTAATACGAATCTTCAGAGCATTTGACTTCCATTGGTTGTTCGTCCATAGATCTAAATTTACCGTGTACTGTCGGGAAGACATTCCTATTAGACACAGGCTTGGACTACCACTTCGAGACAGCTTCTTATATTACGTTTGGAAGTCAGTAGAATACTTTTTAAGGTTCGCTTTAATAAGTGTTTGACACACTTTCGTCCAAAAACTAAATAAGCTGCATGATGTACCAAAGTACTAACACGGAAGTAGGACTTTTTAGTGCGCGGCTGCTTACCTACCATATGCGGTCTGTTGTCTACAAGGAAGCAAAATTAAACGGTGCATGAATTCTCTTTTGGGGGTACAGAATTTCTAACAGCAGCTGTATCATTTATCCTACCGTGTATATGTTATTGCCTATGGCAGTAGTTTTTTAGCCCGCCCTTCTGCTTTTAAAAAAGCATTAAAGCGGGCTTATGCAACCGCTCTCGTGTCCGTCCGTCCGTCTGTCTGTCTGTCTGTCTGTCCGTCGTCCGTGTAAGAGGAAGGAGATGAGCTAGAGGTCTGCAAATTTCAGGGTATCTTAGGGGTCACTCCTGGACAACGAAACGCCTGGTGCAAATCCTAGCAACCACCCCTAAGGGGGTCAAAGGGGGTAACAAAGAAATAGGGGTTGGTCCAAAAAGTAGAAAAAAATATTTTTTTTATAGTCTCCTAAGGGGTAACTCGTGAAAGTAAAGCCCTTTGGGCGAAAATTTTGCCCGTTTGACGCTATCTTCAACCGTTTGGGCGCTAGAGTGCTTTTTTCGACGAAAATACGGCGAAAATGACCACGTTGCACCTGAAGACGTACAAGGAGGCGTCCAATCGTAAAATGTCAGAGGAAGTACCCCCCCAAAACAACACGTTCTGAATCAAGAACTACCCTCGCATTAGCCGTATCTTTTACTGTTTCGGCCCTAGAAGTGGATATATTGAAAACAATGGCAGAAAGTCAAGTTATAAGACTCTTTGACAAACAATATACAATCTAAAAACTGCGCGGGTTAATTTTTTTTTTAAATTTTTAAGCAAAGCAGAAGGGTGGGGTGTGGTCACGGTGTTGCCCCGTTACTGTCTTTTGTCATTTCCAAGGAGCAAATCTCTAGGGCCGCAGGCCCCCAGCCGAACGCTTTAGTTTACTCAAATATGCAAAGTAATACCGGTCACATTATTTATTTGATTATGCACTTCAGTAAATCGCGAGACTGAAATGGTCGGGCCGAAGGCCCGACCATCGCCGCCGGCAGGCCAAGCAGGCCCGGCCCCTGCCGAACGGAGTTGCCGGCGCAGCGAAGTGGAGCTGGCAACTCCGTTTGGCGGAAGGGCGGGCCTGCTTGTTGCCCTTGGTATTGCTTAGGCCTTGTGTTCGTCAACATGAACATACCCAAAATGAGTCGTTCATCGGTTTCGACCGAGTAACATTGCCGTATACGCTCTGTGGTTCTTCTGGTTTGTACGGGTTGTAATGAGAAAATCGCATGTGATGAGAGGTCGTTCCATCATATCCAAGTTCTCCGCGATTGCAATCATAAGTTCGCCTGGATACCATCCTGTACGGTCCCTGTGGGGATAAACAATCACGAAAAAAATATTATCTGAGTGAGTCAGCTTAAATATTGCCTGATGAATGGACAGACAAGCACATTAACTACTGTAACCAGTATATTGTCTACTCTAATCAATCATTGCCTGTGCCAGTCAAAGATTAGCAGTAAGAGCCTCGAGGGGCAGTGACTTCTAGTATTCACGGTTCACGAGGGGATTAATACCTCCAGTATTCAGGCGATATTCAGTGATTATTCAGTGATATTCACTATTAGAGTGTATTCACAGTGCACGAAATTTCGGAGTTGGTGCCCCCTCGAAGAGCCTATCCTCTTATCCCTTTCCTACCTCACCTTTATTTCGATCAACTAATCTAATCATTCATTGGCTGTATAAGATTAGTTGTACGAAATAATTATTTGCCTGCATCAGTTAGGTAGACCTTGACTGAGGTAGGAAAGGGATAAGGGGATAAGCTCTTACAGCTAATTTTTGACTGGCACAGCCAGTGATTGATTAGAATAGACAATATAGTGGTTACAGAAGTTAATGTGCTCTTCTGTCTATGAACCAGTCAATATATACGCTAACTCAGCGAATCTTTTTTTAGCCCACCCCCCCTTCCCAAGGGGGCGTTCCTGCTCGCGTGCGAGCGCTTTTCAGGCCCTCCGAAGGGGGCGTTCCTGCTCGCGTGCGAGCCCTTTTTCTCCTCTTTCTTATTTCTCCTCAGGCTATTAAGGTACAGCCACTTCTGTAATACAGATTTTGATAAAGTTTCAACAAAAAATCAATCCAAAAATTAAATTTTATTTGACTATAGTCTCATTGAAATCTGTCTGGGCACTTTTGAGAAAATTAAAGTTAAACATCGAAATTAACACGAAAATCGTCAAAATTCTGCCGAGCCAACAATGGTTTGCACTTTTATCATTCTTTCTGTCGATCCCTACGGCGGAAAATATTTAACCGACGTTAGTTTCCCAGGCAAAATCGTGATCTACTCTAAAATCCGATTCAGAAAATGTGCCGGTGGCCTAACGGTGGCCCTAAACGGTTAACTAATGTCCGTTTAATACTTTGAGCTCCAGTCCAAATCTATTGATTTTAGTAGAATTTCCCATAAGGATCCCATGTTAACTTCGAGGCCATTTCGGCAGGTCAAATCGTGTTCAAAAAGTCTGGAAAAAATTAAAGGTCATTACACACCAAACTACACCATATGGTCAACAAGCATTTCAGCATTTTAACATTTGCGTTTTTATGAACCACCCTGGGCCGCGGTCCAGTCAGTCTCAGTCGGGCAGGCGGCCGAGAAGCCGAGCACCCGCATGCATCACAGCGCTCTCGCGCTCGCCGTGCCACCGAGCAGTGACAGTATTCGATGCGTTTTTTCGGGAAATTTAAAATTTAACTTAGGATCAGAGATATATTTAAATTTTATGGGGAGCGGAGATGAGGAAGTGGTCTACAAAATTCAAAACTGACCAAATGCGCTTCACAGTAGCAAATTAACCGCGGATAGTTCTTAAAAGTACGAGTTACTTCGTAGCAGTGTACGTGTCATCCCATGCTTTTGTGTATTTTTGCTCGAAGCAGGGGGGCAGAGCCACTACCGATACAGTGCCAGCAGCAGTAGCCGGCGGAGTCAGCTGAGCTGAGCTCGGCCGCTCGCTGCACCAAGAAAATGACATTCTCGCTTTTAGTATGTTAACATACTAATACGACAGTCTAATTGGAAACTCTAAAGAACATACAAATGTTTAGAGGATGAACATACTATTCCAAAAGTCTTAACTTACTAATGCAACAATCTTACCTAACATACTAATCCTTAGTATGTTAAATCCCGAACCAAATCTGGGAACGACCTTGCGCTCGGCTTTGGATGACCGCACTTTATAAAAGTGTTCAATTTCTAGTACCAATTCCAATCAATTTTGAAACAAAATGTAACATGGATGCAGACTGAAAAATATGAAGTGTTGTGACATTTTCTGTTTTCGTTTACAGATCAGTATGGGTTTGTGGGCCGCTAGGAACTGCCGCTAGATGTCGTCACGGTCAGAGCGTCTCTTACAAACACCATTTTTTTGCATTAAACTAAAATTTAGACACGAAACTAAAATTTAATTTTACGTTGTATGCTCTATAAGACCTTTACATGCAAGTTTTTGTTGAAAAAGTCAACCATGCGCTAGAAATAATTGGTTTAGTATCAACGCGCGCATGGTCCCCGTCAACTCTCCTTGGTTGGGTGCGGCAACGTTTACCACCTATGTTTGTGTATGCGCGCTGCATCAATTTTGTACCAGTGTCGAAGTGAGTCGCTGATCCATTTCGCTTTACTTCGGTAAAGAGTATATTCGGAAACCAATAAATAATCGTTTTCTCGTTTACAATCCACGGTATTAAACGTCTAAATATCTGATGACCCTGGCCGAGTCGGTATTCTATTTTTCTTAGATTAGGGTTCTAAAGGCGCTCCCACAATTCGCTCGTCGCTCATGGCCTCCGCTCATTACTGACCCATTCTGGGGCCCCACTGTGATAGCAAGGCTGGGATATGGGTGGAATCGGTGTAAAACAGTTTGAGTCGGAATATGAGAGAGATTTCTCCGACACACACACACTCTATTTAAAAGAATATCCTCAATAATGACCCTATGAGCGGCTCATTTGGGCGTCGCCCATTACTGACTCATTCCGGGGTCCCGATGTGATAGCAAGGTCGGGATATGGAAGGAATCGGTGTAAAACAGTTTGAGTCGGAATATGAGATGGGTTTCTCACACACGAACACTCTATTTAAAAGAATATCCTCAATAATGACCCTATGAGCGGCTCATTCGTGAGTCACGGAGTGAGCCCAGAAAGTAGTCCCTCACCCGACCGCGTATGGGGGCGGCGATCTGCTCCTTGTTTGTGGCTCACAGGCGTCATCAAACAACCAAAAATATTTAAATGAATAATATTTTTAAATTTAAACACAATATATGCGATGTACACATCACAAGCGGTCTGTCGTGGCCCCGGCAAGGGAACTGCGCCGACGTAGTTCTCAAATTGCCCGATAGATGGCTCTGCTCCGGTCGCCGACCAGAGGCCAGGTAGGGGCGATGCGCGGTCACCGGTTGCCGATTCGAATGTGTGTGTGTGTATATATAACAGTAACGGCAGACGGCAACTACCGGACCGCCAAGATTTTGTGATCGTAATTGGAAGGTAAGTAAGAAATTATACTGATGTAGGAACCATTTGTTATGTGTCTGCTGATGGGTTATTTTTCTATACATAAATATTTTGAATCCTGTCTCGCGGGGGCCGCGAAGTCCCATTATTTTGATTTTGATTCCGCCATGGAGGCGGATTTGAACCTATGACATAAACGATTGCACGGGGCAACTCGCTCTCGCTTTATTGTCGGTGTGACAAGTCAGTCTAATTCGAAGCTTCATTGACGGCAAATTTGCGTACATATTCGTACGGCTGGCTGTACACTTCGTGTGACCCCCTCCTTGGTGGCCATTGGGCCACTCCCCCTCTCGTACCTCCTTGACTATATTCACAGTACGCAGAGTGGACCTGTTGTTTGTTTACAAATGGCGTCTGCTTGGCTGTGGGGGTGCCGTCGGGTTCACGTATTTTGGAAATCAATCAGAATTTCACAGGTGGTAATGCAGCTGCTCAAGCTCCAGCTCTGTTACATATGGTCTAAAAAATTGAGACGTGTCATATGAGTACAAAATCTTCGTGTGTTGACTGTGTGCTGTGTGGTTGCTATCGTTTTTGCATGTTCTGAGGGAAGGGAAAGGTTAACAATATGTTGATACTTGGTGTGGTTTTCTTATGATATAGATATCAAATTGAGTGAAGTTCAAGGAACATCAGCTGATTACCAACAACATTTAGTTTTGTGGGTGGTAAATCAATCAGTCTAACTAAACTAAGGTAATGGCAACAAATTTGCATGGCAAAGTTCATAGAGTATTCTCTTCCTAATGTGGGTAATGTCTGCCTGCTTAAAACTTGTGCTATCAAGCTTACCAGCAGCAGAAAAGTTTGCAAACATGCACGCAAACACACCACAATCAGTTGAGTTCATCTGTTTGGGATGCTCATTGTTCTAATGGAAAACATGAAAAAAAATAATGGTAATTATGGTACAATGAATATAAAAGTAAAAATAAAGTTGTACTGACATGGTGTTTCTCAATGGCTTACCTCCTGGATTTCCCAGTCAAGTCCACTTTTGTCCTCGAGAAACGTCTTGAGGGTTTTTCAATTGTGATCATACTGGCCACCCATGCTGTCAAGGCATGAAAGTTTTCTTGTCTGAGGACATGCATACATCATGGCCCAATGCAAATTTTCTTCCCGGTATATTGGTACCACCATGTAAGGGCAGTTCATCAACTGGAATTCAAAATTGGAAATCATTCAGCATACGCTACAAATGGGCTTCTTTGGAGGCACAATTTTGCGGTAATCTTATGTATACATACATCACTGTCCTACAGGGCTGGACTGTGCCGCCTTTTACACAAACTTTGGAAGTGGTAGGAGAAGTCCATGGGCTTCCCATTTCCTTTGGCAGCCACTAGATGAAAATAAGCATTCATGATCTGCAAATCAATTAAGTATTCATTGTATTAAAAGCCTAGTCTTAAGGACGATGCTGCATTCGTGAAAACCTATGCCAGTAATTAAAACTATACCTAATATTTAGCCACTCCACATCGTCCAGAGTTCTAAGACCACGGCCATAGAGGGCAAACTCCTCCCCAACCACAACACATTGTTCGTCATCATCCCTACTTAACGCAGCTTTTACTTCAGTCTGAGAAGATCGACAAAAAACAAAAACAAACACATACTCTGCAATTTGGTCTACAGTAAGAGTGGTGAAACAACAAAAAATTGAAAAGTCACAAACCAACATGGAGATAGTTCAAAATGAGATTTTTTTGCAAGGTCACCCACTTTAATTTTTAGGTGAAGTGTGGGTGAAAAACTGTCAGAAATCGAAAATATTTTTTGGCTCTTAAATTACGCACTTACCTCCTCTCTTTAAAATGGTACATTATTTGTTCAAGAATGCATAACCATTCAAAAGTTACAACCAGTTTACTAAATTAAAGCATTGCCTAAAAATGAGCATTTTCTCAAGACTTCACTATTAATGCTGACAAAAATAGCTTCTGAAAGCTGCTGCCACATAGTTCTAGATTCTCTCTGTCTTAAAATGCTACAGGAAGCTGCGCAATCAAGTAGTGTGTCGAAGAACTGCATTACGCCAAAATCTCTGCTAAGCCATTTTTCTCATAATCAAGTTTTTCACTTTCAAAAAAATCTCTTGCGCAACAGTTTCGGAGTAAGCGATCTAGTACGCAAGGGTTACGTACTTTCAAGTGTTGGCTACAACGTAACAGAGAGCTTTCCTTCAATTAGGCGCTTCTTATTTTTGTAATCCCTAGAAACGAACGAGATTTTTCAGTTTTTGAAAACTGCTACAGTAAATAGTCTTTAATTTTTCAAACGTGATAGTTATTGAAAATATCTCTCTGTCACGTTTTAGTATAGTGAAAAGGGCAGCTAAAACACCTAGTGCGAGATGTTTATGGCTTCAAGCGTTGCGCGCCTGATTTTTTGAAATACAGCTAAAATTAGCTGGAAAAAAGCTCTTTTTCCCAAACAGCCGGAAAAATTGTAACGGGACGTGGTGTAAAGACGTTGCAACCTTGGCCCATCATAACCTAGGAATATGCACTCTGAACTAAACCTCCATCGAGTAGATGCCATTTTCACCCACACCTCACCTTAACCTTTTCAAGGGTTCCCAGGATATTGAGGACCTGGCACTGAAATTTTCGGATCTTTGGTTCTGGGAGGATCCTTAGTGGGTCTTGCAGTGACGAGAGAAAAAGGGTAACGTCATCATCTTTTTTCTATAACTCACGCAGAACAGCCTCTTCTAGAGGACTTAACGCATAGTGTTTTTGGCTTGTTTCTTTTTCGATAGCAGCTTCTTCTCTCCCAACTTATTCCTCGAGCTTCCTGACAATGTATTCCCTTCTAGCATCTTTCAGCTTCTGCTTCTTCACCTTTGAAACCTCAGGATCTAAGTTTTTTGTTCCATCTTTCTTTATGCCTTTGGTCATAGCTGTACATGTCTAAACGTGTTTTTTTTTTAATTAATTAGAAAATCAGCAATGAACTAAGGGCAAGAGTGTTACAGAAACCTCAAACGTCCCTTAGGCTTCTTACTATTTCCAAGAGCCCCCAGAGTTCAAGTGTTCCTTTTTGCTGTAGTTGGTTTCCTTATTGTTTTGATGGCCTTTTTACTATCAAACATAAAGTTTGTGTTCATCAAGTTACCATTAGAGCTCGAATTATTCTCTATTCCAAAGTTGGATTTTGGTGAGAATAGTTTTCTTCCCGTAGGTTTACTATAGATGCTCTGAAACACATTAAACCAGTAATGTCAGCAGAAATAAGTACATTTTGATTGCGTAAGAATTAACTATGTCCACTATGTCAGTATTAGCTTACACTGTTAGAAACGTCTATCAATGGCTTTCTATTTCTTTCAAGGGTCCACGACATTAGTATTGAAATGCCCGATTCCTGACTGCCAGGCATGAAATCATCTAAACCTTTTTCACCATCAAGTTCCTGTGTTTCATTCACACCTTCAAATCCTTCTTATTCTGTAATACTTAGGTAACTACCATCATGTCCTTGATTATTGTTAACACCATCATCATCTTCTTCTTCTGCATTTTTTTCATCACCATTTGCTCTCCCACCACCATCATCATCATCACTCTCGTCATCATCATCATCCCTTTTTAAACTCAAATTCCCTTTCACATTATCCTTTCCCTTGCACGAATCTAGGAACTTCATCAAATGCTCATGCTTGTAGGAAATGTTATCGTTCCCTTCCGAGCCACTGCAACCATATTTTTTAAAATAGAGCAGCCGATGATTGCAGAGTGATCTTCTTAGTGATTTCCACGTCTTGTTACAGTCTCATGCTGAAAGTGGAGTAAAAAAATTCAGGTCAACCATAAAGAATTGTTTCAATTACACTAACTTATCACAACTAACTAATATTAGTTATAGTAATATTCTACTTACGAGAACCACCTACAAACAGCTTGGCAATCTCTTGCCACGGCTTTTTTTTAAAAGGCCTGTCTCTCTCAGGAATGTTGTCATCCCATAAGCTTGGGGTATGGCTTTATGGAGTGGCTACTTGCTCACCGGCCGCCCCCTAACCTGAGCCACTGCGAATGGAACTCCTCCGCCGTGCGAACGAATTTCGACGCAATCGACACACCGGCGTGTTCCTTTAGGTCCACTCTAATTATTAGTCACATAAAACTTGACCACCACCACAACACTTTCAAACTAAAGCCCACCAAAGTCACTCACCGCCGTGCGTAGATCGCTCCTGTCCAGACCCGTGCAGCGCCTGCCTGCAAAGTTGTTGCCATTACCTTAGTTTAGTTAGACTGATTGATGAGAACTACGTCGGCGCAGTTCCCTTGCCGGGGCCACGACAGACCCCTTGTGAAGTGTACATCGCAGATATTGTGTTTAAATTTAAAAATATTATTCATTTGCATATTTTCGGTTGTTTGATGACGCCTGTGAGCCACAAACAAGGAGCAGATCGCCGCCCCCGTACGCGGTCGGGTGAGGGACTACTTTCTGGGCTCACTCCGCGACTCGCGAATGAGCCGCTCATAGGACATTATTGAGGATATCCTATTAAATAGAGTGTTTGTGTGGGAGAAATCCATCTCATATTCCAACTCAACTGTTTCACACCGATTCCAACCATATCCCAGCCTTGCTATCACAGTGGGACCCCAGAATGGGTCAGTAATGAGCGGAGGCCATGAGCGATGAGAGCATTGTGGAAGCGCCCTAACACACTCAAGATTAGCATGTCAACATACTAATCAAACATACTATACTTCAGTACGTTTCATACTTTTATCTCCGATTAGGGTATTGACATACTGAAGATTAGAACGACATACTTGAATCGTATTATACACTGTCACCATACTAAACATTAGTATGTTACTCTAAAATCAAGAATATCGTCTTCTTGGGTGTGGCTGCTGACTCGTCGAATCGAGCGGAAGAGCGGTCTGGTCAGTGATGAACGGAACTGGCCGTCGGCCGGATGCCGCCTGCCTCGGCCAGATGGCCAGAGCAGGCCGCTCGGAACGCCCCGGAGCTCAGTCGGCAGCCTCCCGACGCCATCCCCCTCTCTCGCACTCAGCAGCCAGGCGGCCGGCGCCGGCCGCACACCCACAGCCGCGGCCGCGGCCAAGTTCGGCTGCCTCGGTCGGCTTAATTCGCCGCTTCGCTCCACCGGCAACCCGGTTCGGCAGGGAGCGGGCCTAGCTTGGCCTGCCGGCGGCGTTTGAGACGGGCCTTTGGCCCGTCCCTTATTCTGATTTTTCATGGTGTAATAAAGCTGCCATCGGAAAACGGGTCTTAAATCCCTTCGAAGCTTTTAAAGTTCCCTAATGGATCCAATAACACACCTATAAAAAGATACATAGGACTAGGCTGCCCATGCTCCGATCAACAATGTTCCTGTTAATGTGCAAACTGGAGAGGATCATGCTGCCATTAATGAAAATGTTTTAGCTTTCATAATCGTAAGATTTCTCCTTTACCTGATGTGCCTTATCAAGAAGTGATTGGTTAATTTATGTACGTAGCAATCTGCACAAGACCTGACATTATGTTAGCTATAAGTTATGTAAGTCAGTATAGTTAGTTGTAAATTTTAGTGGCGAACATTGGTCTGCTGCTAAACGCATTTTTAGATATTTGAAAGGAACCATCGATCATCATGGATATGCACTTTTCGCAAGCGGCGATAAAGCGAAATTTCTTAAAACGCTTCTAAACGCTCCGGGAACAACATTTCTGCACGAATTAGACCCATTAGGCTCAAAAACAACTAGCGACAAAAAGCGAAATTTCGCGAAAATCGTCTGAATCCGCGAAATCGACCTGATACCGCGAAATAACCGGCGAAAATCGCGAAAGATCTAGCGAAACCGCGAAAAATTGCCTAAAATGACTGCATTTTCTTCTAAAACGTTTCTCAAATTATTGTTTTTGTAGTTTTTTGAAATTTTGGTTATGTTATGATGACATGACAGAACCGCCAACCTAGGCGAGGCGCTTCTGCAGCACTTGGTTAGCTTGCCGGGGTTATTCAGGTTGGTAGTACTGACGAACTGACCGTTACGCAAGGCTAACTTTGTGCCAAGGCCTCGCCTGGGTTTGGCGGTTTGGAGGACCGGTTTTAAAAGCCGAGAGGAGGCAGACAAGTTTAGTTAATTAAAGAGAGCTAAAGATGCCTCCACCAAAGAAAACCATTGGTGACAGAGTGAAGGAGTTCAAAGAAGAAGGCATGATACAAGTTGGACAGGTTATGATGTGCTGTTATTGTAACTGTCGCGTCGAGTGGTCAAAAGTAGACACTATTAAGAAGCACATCAATAACCAGCACCACGAAGCGAACAAAACAAAGGCATTAACTAGTGGTAAAAGGCAACAAACGTTTGAACAATGCCTGGAAACATCAAAGAAGAGGAAGGATGAAAAACATACATTCGTTTTAGATACAGTTGAAGCTATGGTTGCCTCCAACATACCACTTCATAAAGTTGACCATCCTGTGAGTACCTGCAATGCAATGTTAATTAACTCGCGTTCCCCTCAATTTAATTGCTGAGCAGAAAATAAATCTATTCATATTTTTGCAGGCTTTTCAAAATTGGTTGCACAAGTATATGCCCGGGTGCGGCGACCTGCCCAAGTCGAGGACCTTGAGAGAAAGCTATGTGCCAGAGCTAAGGACTATGAAATTTGAAGAGCTGAAACAAATTTTGAAAGAAAAGGCCATCGTGGTTTACTGCGACGAAACAACAGACTCCAGTGGCAGGGCTGTTTTTAACATCCTGGTGCAGACTGTCACTGATTCAGACAAACAACAGCTGTACCTGGCATCATCTGTGGTTCTTGACGTGGTCAACTCCGAAAGCTGCGCAAATGCAATCTTAGGCTGTCTAAACAAGCTGGAAAAAACTATTCAAGATGTTGTAGCTGTGGTTTCAGACTCTGCCAGGTACATGACTAAGTGTGCAAGAATTTTAAAGGGACTTAACTCTGACCTACAGCATGTGCAGTGTTGGCCACATAAGCTGCACAATGCAGCTAATACCTTCCAGAAGACCCTCCCTGAACTTAATGCTGCAGTTACTAAAGTGAAAAAAGTCTTTCTTCATGCCAGAAAGAGGAGCAATGAATATTTACTCTTCCTGCAAGAGAAGTACCCCGACGACAAGACTAAGTGGACCCTCTTCCCCATCCCTTGTATCACAAGGTGGAACTCCTGGAAGAAATCTGTTAACTATCTTCATGCCCACTTTACTGATATAATGGAATTTTTGGAAGGACAGCAGGACGAGGATGAAGATGATGACTTTGATGAGGAAGAGGATGCAAGCAAGGACAGCAAATGTATAAAATACCTTAAAAGCCTGACTGCTGAGGAGAAGGAGAAAGTAAAAGTGCAAGCAGAATTTGTTTCTATAAAATGGAGAGAGATAGAAGTACTGATCCAATTGCTGCAAACGAATAAATTCCCTACCAGCCACTTAATTTACCAGAAAATAGATGCAATTGAAAGAAGATTTTGTCTTTTGAGTGAAGGTGATGGATATGAAGACTTGAACTTCCTTAACACACTTCCAAACACCAGAAGAAATAATAATAAGAAGCAGCTTCAGGCAGCCGCCGTGAAGTTCCGCACCCAGATTCTGAAGTACGCCCGCACTGACCCTGCAAGAGATTATCTTCTAGGCCTGGAGGCCCTTTTGTCTCCAAGAAACCTAGGCCGCTCAGCTCTACCCGTGGATGAGGTGAAGAGACACCTAAAAAACATCCCATTTGCAAAAGAAATACCCATCCACGAGTTTGTAGCTGGGTGGTCTTCCCTTTCAACAATGGTAAAAGAAGAGACAAGAAAGCCGGGATTCAAATCAATCAATTTAGTTGACTTGCTTTGTGCCCTAAAAGGGGACTTCCCCATCTTTGCCAGCAAATGTTTGCAGGCCCTTTGGATCTTACCCTCAAATGCTAACAGTGAAAGATCCATCAGGGCCTGCAACATTGTGGTCACCGACCTGCGACGCCGCCTCAAACCGGAAAATGCAGAGACACTGAATATCATCTATTTCAATAGGAATGAAGAGAACAACCAGTCCTACAATCCCTTCACAGAGGGTGTGGAGGAAGAAATTGATGATGAAGAGCTGTTGGGACTGATTTAAAGAGAGACAGTTTTAGTGAGCTGAAATGGCAATGGAATCTGATTGTGATTTTTGATCTAGTTGGTTGTTAAGTTCCTAGGTTTGATTTAAATATTTAAAAGTTGTTTGAACACTTAAATATTTGTATTCTTTTATTTTTTATATGACTTTTGAGTTTAATTTTTTGTTCTAAATTATAGATATAATAAATACTACTCTGAAATACATTTAAAAATGGTCTTTAGTATTCTTTTACTACCCCTCTGGCCTGTAACAGTTAAAAAACACTCCGTATTTTGAGGTCTGGTGCAGAAATTTGTTCTTCGCAGCATTATTAGGGTGTTTTTGGTAATTTCCGGCAATTTCGCGATAAAAAGCGAAATTTCAACTTCAATCAGCGAAATTTTGAAGCGTCATTCCGCGAAAAGTGCATATCCATGTCGATCATTTTTTAACTTACTTATGCAATTCCAAAAAAGACATTCAATTCTTTATTAGGGACAAAATAAAGCATTTAACTCCAGCTTATCTACCTGAGCAGCATTGGGAGGATGTAGGCGTTATAGAAATCTGTTTGATGCTGATTGGGGAAATGGTTCTGATCGCAGAAACTATTCTGGTATTGTCAGGATAATGTAATCTGGTGCCGTCTTTTGGCAGGCGAAGAAACAGCCGTCTCCGGCTTTGAGCAGCACAGAGGCTGAGTGCGTCGCTTTCAGGGCTCGAGAGAAGCAAAAAGTTTGTGAGTTTTCTAGGTAGGTATTGGTCGTCAAGCGCCAATTACTGTTCATTGTGATGACTGAAGTGCTAAATTCATTGCTTCAAACCGGTCAAACAGTAGTAAGTTTAAACATGTTGATATCCAATATCAGTTTACCAGAGCCATAGTAAGATTTAAAATTGTAAAACTTAATTACCTTCGAACTGAATTAATGTAAGCAGACGACCTAACCAAATCTCTTCTAGCAAATAAGCACAAATTTTGTAAATTAAAAATTGGTGGGTATTAATTTGTTTTTCGTTGTAAAGCATTCTGTGTGATATTAAAATAATGCATTGCTTTTGGTTTTGTTAAAAATAATGGCGCTAATATTTTATCACTTGCTTGTTTTTGTACAATCACTTTTTATATGTAAAGTGAAGAGACAGAGTTCACGAAACGCAAGCGTGATTTTCACGCCAGGTGTGAATTTCACGCTCCGTAAGCTCCACGCAGCCAATCAGGAACCGACTTTCATTACGCCCGGCGTGAAAATCACGCCTGGAGTAAGACTCACGCTCGCGTTTGGCGAACTCTGTATCCACCTTTATGCATGTTCACTTTTCTATTGTTGTTTATTGCTTTGTTTTTAAAATACTCGCATTAAGTGGGGGTGTTGTTGTGTAATGCTCAATCATATTCAGATTGATATTGTTAAATTGTGATATTCAGATTTGTCAGTTGGTTACACTCTCTGTCTTCTGCTATGGAGTCAAATATTGTCTGCACACCATTTTTTTAAATCTCTTCGCCAACCAACCTGTGAACCTTTCACTTCTCCTACCTACTCCTCTTTGACACCACCAGCAACACTATTTCTTTATTCAGATGTGACGGAACCGGACGTAACATTTTTGAATACATATTTTTGAGAAGAGTACTGAAAGCCTAGCGTTGTGTCTAATATTTAAACAGAGGTTTGGAGGGTCACTTACTACCAAACTTCTGATTATTACACATTAAGTGTACTACATATCGATTTATCTGCAATATGGTTATGAACATCCATGTTATTTTAATGTTGATATAGATGTACGTTGTTCTATATTTATCTCTGCGTCACATTCAAGTGGCGTTCACTAAAATAGGTGAATGGAAAATGGGATGTTTTAAAAATTTGCAAAATAATTTGGATCGAAACATTTTGAAGACAACAAGAAAGTAAAGAGCTTAAGGATTCTTTTGAAAAAGTCCAAGTGATTCTTACACCTCTAGAAATCCGAGGGAATATCATAGGAAAGGTACTCGCGCCTAGAGCTCCCCTCGCAGCGAGAGTCCCGTGGCCTAGTGCGGTTAAGTCACCAAGATTCCAAGGCGCAGATCGCAGGTTTGAATCCAGGGAAAGGTAAGATATAACTTCACATTTAAAGTGAGGAAAAGATAGGTGGAAGAAAGGAAACTATAAGGTGCAAGATGAAACCAAAATAAAAGATCGAAAAACGGAAATATTTTAGCGTTACAAGATGGCCATCAACTTGTCTATATATTCTAGACGTCTAAGTTTGACAACGAAAGTGTGCACTTAGATCATCTATGAGACGTCTTTGCAGATGTCTAAGAGGCCATCTTTTATCTATATGTATTTTCCCTGTGGGTTACTTGCTTTTGATTTTCCATTACACAAATTTTACATTTCAGAACTTTTTAGCCCGCTCTTTTGCTTAAAATCTATATAAGCGGGCTTATGCCATCGCCT